GGCCGCTGTCCTCCACTCCCCACCCCCGCTAAACTCTATTAGGAAGGTTTGGTTCATCTTCGATAACAAGAAACACGATCATTTGAAACCAGGGGCTATTTTTACCGTGCAGCTGGAAGCTGTCATCAATTCGTAACATTTATTTCGGCTTTAGAATGATGGTATAAAATAGCATGAAGTTTCCAGATGACGCCCGTACTGGAGACAGGATTTTTAAGAATAATAAATCAAATTAACTACCTTTTAGATATATACGTCTTCGATAACAAGAAACACGATCATTTGAAACCAGGGGCTATTTTTACCGTGCAGCTGGAAGCTGTCATCAATTCGTAACATTTATTTCGGCTTTAGAATGATGGTATAAAATAGCATGAAGTTTCCAGATGACGCCCGTACTGGAGACAGGATTTTTAAGAATAATAAATCAAATTAACTACCTTTTAGATATATACGATCACATGCCTCTAATAGTGTGTGTGTGTGTGTGTGTGTATGGCAGAATGATTACACACACACACATTTCCTTGTGTGCATATGCTAGCTAGTATGTATTTGCTTACATCACATCACACACAATTATCTATATAGTTATCAGAACAGGCCATATGATCATAAACACACATATACATCTGTGTATTTGTGTATGTGTGTGTGTGTAGGGATTTTCATATAACATTTTTAAACAAAACCTGGACGTATTATCATAGGTTAAGACCCGAAGCCCATTTTTTGAATATTTCTCCTATTCCAAGTCCTATTTAAAACCCAGAAGGCAGAGACTGAAAAAACAAACACTTTTCCCCTAACAGCAAGGACATATGTTTCCTTTTCGATATTGCCCATTTCAGGAGGCAGGCGCTGGGAATTTGGAGATAGGTAATGCATGTTACTTCACGAAGTATGTTTCCTAGAAAACAAGAAACTCTCCTGTTTAGACGACTCCCTGAATTTGCTTGCTGCACCAGGCTGCCAGTGTTGCTGAAAGAGTTGCTAATACCACACATGAAACAGGCTGCTCTCTTTTTAAGTACACACAGAGCTTAGCTTTAGATGTGGACCCCTGCGCATGCGCTCTCGCGGGCTTGCTTGGGCACTCTGGCTCCACGTGCTGTTGAATATTTATGACTCTCACCACCTCCTAACTGTCTAGAGAAGGTAACCACACAGAGCCTAAATCATCTGAAACCGCTGGCTTTGCTCCCAAAATAGTTTGATAGGGAATATGCACGTGTTTGTTTTCAGACAACGGTGGTTTAAGTAAGATCATAATATAAGGCATAGTAGGATCATAAACCTTGACTATTAGACACAGGGATAAACAGACAATGTAGCAAGAGCAATCATTTTGTGCAGTAACGGAGTTTCTAATAAGCACTCTCTGGATGCAGCAGCACTGCTGTAAATGCAGCTGAACAATAATTTGATTAGTTTATACCTACGAAGCCCTGGGTTTGGGTACTTACT